CAACTCAGTAGGTAATAATCCCAGACTGGTTTGTGTTGGAAGGGACTTTAAAGCTCATCCAGTTCCAACCCTAGAGCAGGTTGCTCCAAGCCCCTGTGTCCAACCTGGCCTTGAACACTGCCAGGGATGGGGCAGCCACAGCTTCTCTGGGCACCCTGTGCCAGCGCCTCAGCACCCTCACAGAGAAGACCTGCCTAATGGCTAATGCCAAATCTCCCCTCTGTCTGGTTAAAGCCATCCCCCCTTGTCCTATTATCTACTTATTTTTCCCAAGATAACACCAAACTGTGTTGTAGATGTTTGGAAATGCAATTATGCTACAGTCAATGGACTTAAATTTGGCAATGTATCAACATTCATAGCTTAAAATGGGAAATGAAACCGATCTAGAAATACACACAGAAAAATCAACTTCTGAGCTTGTAACTGCCTTATACAGCAAAAGGCATCAACATACATACATTAGGCTACACCCTTAAACAAGGCTCCTGAAGCAATTCATGGACACTGGTATTTTCTGGATGTGTGGTCTCTTTGCGTACTTCACAGTAATAGAAAATAGAAGATCCCCTCTCTTTGTGGACTCCAGCCTGTCCAAACCCTTTCTCTGCTACCTGCCCAAGACTTACCATCTTTAGTGGCTTCAGCTACATCTCCCTGACCAGACTTCTCATTCAAGTTGCTCCTGGACATAAACCATGGACTTTCTTAACAGAGGAAAATGCATCTGGCTAATGCCAATGCTTCTGCCACTGACAAAGACATTTCTGTGGAAACACCAACTTCTGTGTCATTTGGACTCCAACAGAAAGGCCCATGCTGTGTTCATCATCCTTCCCTAGTCACAGATGTCAGGGACATCAAAAAAGCATACGGTGATCATAGGCACTTTTAGCCAGGACAAAAGAATTTACACAATTATCCCATGCAATGTGAGGTCCATCTGCAGTACAAACTTCCCTGTGACATGAAAAGCGCTGTGTCAGTACGTACCACGGACCTGCAAGGAAACTGCCTGTTCCCAGCAGGGTCTCACACCTCTCTGCTCATAAAGGTTACACCACCTGTATTTATATTTTAACTTCCTGTAAGTCTTTTCCATTGCAACAGTACTGAATTTATATTTACAACTGGTTCTAGACTCTTAAAAGTCCACGTGGATGACAGCAAGCTGATGAGTTCAGACAGTCAGCAGTGATGAGCGAGCAAATCAGTGTGGACAGGAGAAGAATCTCACTGACTCATTTTCCAAATTAAAATGCATTTCATTTGGAAAAACAAACGAAATAAAGTAGAATTTTAAAGAGGAGGCTGCCTCTATTTTGTGAAACAATGCCTTTCCATGTTGTAAAACAAGCATGCACCAGGAAGTAGTGTCCTGTTACACACAGGAGACTTCTTGCTGAGCTATAGACAAACTTGATTGTCACAAGGTTTGTATTTCGCACATTGTCATCTACCAGCAAAATCAAATACCCACAACTTTTAGGGACTGGGAGGAGGAAGGGGATGAAGAGAGACGAAGGAAAGAACAAAGTTAAGAATGCATCATGCAGGAAGAGGAATTCTGTCCAGCAAAGCTGCCCATTGGCTCCTCAGCCCACGGAGCTGCAGCGGCTGTGAGCAGGCACAACCTGCAGCCTCCCATCGCTCCTGTGAAGGGCTGCAGGGGAGACCCGAGCCCCAGGACCAGCTCCCCTGTGCCCTGCTCATCACAAGGCTCCGTGCAGGACTGGGCAGTACAACCACCGAGTTCAGCCAGAAACCACCAGGGAGTGTTTTAAAGTGGGCTGTGGAGGCATGGAGCACATTCAAGAGTAGACAGTGAGCAGGAAGCGCCAGCTCCCCTTCCCAACAGTGGGCTGTATCTGCAGAAGAAAACATACTCTTCTCATGAAGGAAATAAAACTTGCAACTAAATGTACATTTCAGTAAATCATTTTCATTCTGGGAAGAGTCAGAAAAGGAAAATACAGGTTTTCACACTTCCCAAAGGAGGATTTCATACTTGACCTACTCAATGGGCAGGGACTCCCTATTACCCCCCAGAGGCAATATTACCCTCTCACTTCAGGGAAGCGGGATCAGTGATACAGACTGTGGCAAGGATGTTAGATATTACATAGCATTTATTTCCATACTCTGATACAACAGCAGTGCAGAGATGGACCAACCTAGAGCAATGTGGAATAACTATGAGGTTTAGATAGGTGAGCAGACGCTTCCCAAGAGCTGCTGCCCTCTCAAAGAACTACATCTCCCCAGACAGGCCGATGTTTGCTCAGAATCCAGGTTCATGTTCAATTCAAGAAATAGTTTAAATTGCCCAATGTACTGGCTGAAGTAGAGGCAAAAGAACATACTTTGTTCCTTCACAAAAACTTTGCTTTTTAGTCAATATTAGACTATATCCAATTTTATTTTATAATTGGCTACAGAAGGTTATGCAAAACCATCAACTCAATTTGAAGTATGACTATACCTCACTTCACCAATAGCAAAATCAAGCTTAATATGTGTCAGGTTTGCTATGTTCAGGACACCTACCAATAAATTTACAGCAGTTTGTAATATACTCATTTCAAAAAGAAAGAGAATCTCCCACATTTGTGCAACTGCTCAACTCTGGCTATTGCACAGAGGCTCAAAAGGCACTGCAGATCTACAGCAGCCAGGCACTTCCAGCTCAGCAACACAGACGTTTTCATGATGGCACTGACACGGAAGTTCTTAGCAAACACTTGCTCAACAGGCAAGGTCCGGGACTGAATGCTGGGGCTGAGTGGCCCAATCCCTTTACTGGTGTGGGCCCTCACTTTGATGTCGTAAGTGGTATCGGGCTTCAAACTCATCAAAGTGATACTTGTGTCCTCGGTGGTATTAAGCAGTGTGACAGACGTAGTGTTACACACTTACTCCTCACAGGAACGTTCTCAGAATTAATCCATACATGCCTGGGAGACATTGAGACACCACTGTGACAGAGGCCATAAAAATACTGGGTCTCCGATGCCCGCGTGCTGCCTGTTGGAGACGGGCCGCTTCCAGCTCACCCGGATGGCAGTCGAATTCACAGACTGCCTCCACCTTTCGAGGTGGGGCACTGGGCACATCCCCATCAGTGCACACATGCAATATTCCAGTGACTCTTAACATTTGCAGGATGGCAGAAACTACAGATACACCCGACCTCTGAAGCCATGTGTACTCCTCTCCCCTTCCCTGCAGTACCCTGCTTTCCAAAGAGAGCCAGCCCAGCTCTGCTCTGGGGGTGGCTGGGCTTGTGCTCCTTGAACTGAAAATGCTCTTGATGCGCATCACTGGTGAGAAGTGACAGAACGGCGCCTGCACGCATGGAACTGGGGGATAAACAAGCCTTTACTTAACAAAAGTAAGGGACCTTTACAATGCGTTCCAAAAGTTGGATTAAAAGATATTCGGTAATTTGATTTATTCTCCCCATGTAAAACACGGCAAGAGGAAAACGATTCTAAAAACATAGAGAAAATGTGACCAGTGAATAAAACCCTGTGCTGTGGGAAAACACAAATGCTTTTTCCCAGGCTGTGCTGCTGAGCTTTCCAGACTACCTCAGAATTTCAGATGTGTCATACCTACCCATGGGAAAATAAAGGTTTTAAATGCAGCATTAAAGTAAGAAGAATAGTGATTTTAAAACCCAAACAAGACTGCCTGCTGACACATCTCCCCTCTTAACAAAACCCATAACAATCCTACTTCCCAAATCCCATTCCCACCCAATAAATTAAAAATAAGAGGACAGTCCGCACGTTTACGCATAAGAAAGAAGGTTGCAGAACCAAGTTCTAATGTTGTAAAGCATCATTCATGGTTTTCAACATCCCCAAGGTATTCTACTATGTCCAGTTATTTGAGGTAGCGGCAATAAGTAACATTTTCTTCAGTTAAAAGACAAATGACTCCTTTATCTTTCTGTGCCTAAATCAGATACCTGCTGAATCAATAGCCACATATTCAAAATGCAGTTAGAAAGCAATAAAAGATTCCTGACTGGATAGAAAGGATTAAAGAATCATAAATAAGATGCAAGAGCTCTGCATAGCTACGTGCTTATTGTGCTTGTAAATGGAAAAGGAAGAAGGAAGGGTCTTCAAGGAAAGCAGCCAAAGGAAACTGAAGCAAATGTAAAAAGTATTTTAAGGCTATATTTAGAGGAAGACATTCTTCCTGCATTTGCCAAGCTGTGCACGTCATTTCACACAGCATGTTTTAGCCAGCTTTGTAAGTCTATGAGAGAGCGGGGAGGGGGGGAAGGAATCTGTATCAGTTGCCAGAAATGGAAATCTTACATTTATGTAGAGGAACAAATACTTTAAGCATGTGAATCCAAGACAACTTTCTGAAGGGGGGGAAAGGGGAAGGAGGGGAATGGGTGTGCAAGCATGGTGTTAAATTTTCTAGGTATCACAGAAGGATTCTGCAGTATCTAGTTTATAAGTAACATGATTTAGCCTCTAATAATCCCTTTTGAGCCCAGGCTCACTAGCCTTACCTATACCACTAAAAGTACTCAAATGAGTGAATTTCACTAAATTCAGGTCTTCAGCCTGTATGTTACAAACTATCTGACAACTTGCCCATGTTCATGCAGACAGGATCCATCAGTTACAGAAGCAACTAAGTACTTCTCTTCTATAATGCAGTAAATGACCATCTTGGATAAACAAACACCAAAGACAAGCACAAAGGTGAAAACAGAAACAAAACTATTCCAGATTCGCAAGAATATGGTGCTTTTTCTTTAATGTGTTTAGCACATGCCACAAGGTTTCACTATTTGCATAAAGAAATGTCAAGCACACAAAAAATATGTCAGTACCAGATGTAATGGTAACAGGCATAAACCACGGGGAAATTTCCTGTTAGTGACCTTCTGGAGGGTGGGGATGGAATTCATTTGAGAGATAGGGCTGGTTTTACTTCAACTTACACAAATGACTTCTAGAAAAAGGTTTTACCTTCATTCCCTTCTCCAGGCGGCTGATAAAACGAAAGTCCCAAAGATATGATGGCTGCAATTTCCAAGATTATAAGAGTCACATCCTGCAAGGCTTCCCAGACTAGCTGTAAGAATGTTTTTGGCTTCTTTGGAGGTATAAAATTTTTTCCAAAAATAAGCTTTCTTTTTTCTAGGTCTGCAGCAGTGCCAGCTAATCCTGTAAAGAAAATAAAACAGCACACATTAAAATTGCAGTGGAATAGAAAATGCCTGCTTAGATCTGCATCCCTGCAAGTTATTTCTCCAAGAGCAATTACAAGCTGTACCACCTATGGCATATTAACAAATAGACAGATAATTCCACTTAAATTTTGCCTTTGCAAGACGATACATCCTTATGTTCTGAACAGAATCCTTATGGGCTACATTTGGTACTCATTCCTAACAGTTTAAAGCATACAAAAATTCAGTAGGTTTACTTTAATAAGACCTATGTATACAGATACATACATACATGTAAGCAATGACTTCTGAAAATAGCCCATAAAGAACAAACACAGTATACTGGGGACGTAGCTGGAATAGCCATTGGCAGCTTTTGGTAACAGCCACAGAAGCAGCATTACATATGTCTGTTCTGACCTCAGGTCCACAACCTTGAAGTATAATGCAATAAAGCAAGTCTCATTCTACTGCAGAGCAGCCTCTCCTGCTGCATACGTACTGCCACACACTACTAGAACGAACTGTTGGTTAAGTGAACAAAGGCAGCAAAAGTGACAGGTTGCATATGCAAAGAAAGTAAAAAAGGGAATGATACGGTTCCTTAAATCAATATAAAAATCCATATTTTGCACGACACTTCAATTTAAGAACATTTCAATGGAAGGATACAGCGTAAGAACGTGCAGTTGCACTGAACAGCCAACTTTGTGTGTTTTTTCCCTATTTTAATGATATTAATCTATGCAGTCTAGCGCCTGTTCAGAAAACAAAAAGGACCTGCAAGTGTTAGGATGGAATAACTGTGCGCATCCTCCGTGCTCAGCAGCAATAAGATCAGTGGTTACATATGTCAGCCAAAAAACATTTGACATCATTTGGAACATTTACAAAACTGAAGGTTTTGAACGTGCTCAGCAACATCAAGTTATTCACGCTTATTCACCCTAATGTGACATGATGACAGCATTTGAGTTGAGAGTTGGCCTCGGAGCTATATGAAGGTGCCTGCAAGAGAGCAGGAGGAAACGATGGAGCCCACACTGTAAGGATTCAATCCTCACACAGTTTAGGGTAAGCCCTTGCTCCCTGAAGCATGTCAGTATCCAGGGGGTACTGGCGCTCAGCTGTATGTCTCATTCCTTCGGGACTGGTACAACTGCTCCCAGCAGCGTGCACGTGCCAGGAAGCCTCCTCTTGGATGGAAGCACTGGGCCCAAGCGTCATTCCCTCGAACGAAAGTGATGCTTTCCTGAACAGACCAGTCCTGCTGCAGTGCAGGCGAAGCTGTCAACTCGCCTTTCACTGCGGGTATATGATTACAGCTGCTGGGTAGCTTCTGGCTCTTGGTTAACTCATCAAACTTTCATTTCACCTTCAGCTTTTAAGAAACGCTATCCCCCTCTCCTAGATAAAGGCAGGCTGTAGTTATCGTTACCTCACCTCATCTAATTTTCAGTGCCTGGTGCCACAGTAACAGCCAGGTTCCAGCTGTTAGTGTGTCTACATTATTCTCCATGATTCAAACAATAACACGTCCAACCTCTCCACTCCTCCATGAGCTCCCAGTCAGCTTCCAAGGTAAACACTTCCCGCTGCGAAACAGGAATTGCAAGCGATGAGCTGTTTGGGTAGCTGCCCTTCTGTGAACCAGTCCAGATCACAGGAGTGGGGACAACACACGGGAGGCACTCACCACAGCTGGGATCCCACACAGGGCCAAGCCTTCAGAGCCACCCACAGTACCACCGATCAGCTTTCAGAGGGCTGCAAAGCCTGCCAGCACAAGGAAGGATTTTCACTGCAAACAGCGTGCACAGTGTGAAACAGGCCCCCAAAACATAACCTCGTGCAAATACAGCAGGGACTTCACGCATAAAGAGGAAAGCACACGGACAGCACTGGCAGTGGTAAGCATTCAGGGCAGAAATGTTCACGCAATGCACCTACAAGCAGCAATGCAGAACTCTGAAATGGGAAACTCCAGAGCACTTTGGGAAGTGGAAGGAAGAGATGTCTGACAAATGCCTCCGTTCCAGCACAGAACATATGCGCAGGGTGGTGGGCCAGTTCCAGTGGGGAAGGAGGTGATAGGGTACTCAGCACCCTGAGAGGGATGGCTGAAATGGCACAGGGAATAGCTGTAGTCTTCAGCAATCCTGATAGTCTCCACCTAGACATGATGAACTCACCACTTGGAAATAGTGCTACAGACCTTCAGGAGGCCATAAAAAGTACACATACCCTGTGTACTGCTCATAATGCTCATACAAATACATGGCCAGCCTGAGAAGTCTCCAAAGCAAAAGACCAACACTGGAACTCAAAGACCTGCCTTCTCTCTAAGATAAAAACTGTTTTCATTTAGCCCCCATAAGGTTGAGGACCAGACTGGATTTAAAGCATCTGTGGTCACAATTATCTTCTAGACTACAGTCTAAATAACCCATGCTGGAATTCAGACATAAATTTCACTTAATTTTTCTCTTTCATTTTTTAATAATAAATACTATTTTCTTAAGACCCCTGAAGAGACACGGGTAAATCATGTGATTCTATTCTTTTCTGTAAGTCTGTGTCTTCTTGGTGAAATTATTCACCAAGTCAGCGTCACCTAAAATAAACAGCACATTCAGCTTCAATTAGGAAATCTGTTTTCTTGTAAGTCATTCAGAAACACTGGAAAATCAAATGCAATGTTTAGTTCAAGCCAAAAGGTTTCCCTTTTCCTGAGATCTGGCCATTGCTCAACAAAGCTCCTTCAGCAAAACTGTGTTTTGTTGTTTTCTTATCTCCCACTGAATGCCAGAAACTAAAATACTGCATTTAGAGAGAAAGGGAAGGAGAGAATGCAGAAACCTGCAGACCAATTGATGAAACCCCATCTCAACAGTCCTAAGCATTACTGCAGAGATAAGGTCAGAAAGGGACAATAAAAGAAATACAGAGAAGCCAAAGTTATAAAACGAGATACAGCAAAGGGAAACGTGATTGAGAATCTGAGACAATGAGAGAGGTTTATTCTGCAAAGCTTCCATAAACTCTCCATACCATAAACTCGCAATTCCACTGCCAGCAGAAGGTATGCTGGAAGCAGGGGGGGACGGGACGGGACACACCTTATCTACTTGAAATCACCTGCTTTATTCAGAAACCTTATTTTAAACAGTGCTAAAGGTGTGAAGAGGCTCAGGTGCCCCCGGCCCCCGCCGCAGACCCGCAGGCTGCTCTGCCCTGCTCGCGTGCGATGACAGGCCGGGCAGATGGCAAAGACGTCAATTACACAGCGAGATGGGAAGTGGACATCTGCCCTCACCAGGGCTTCCACTCAGAGACAGCTTCCCTGCTGCCAGCTTCTTAATGGGGTTTTTCCATTTTACACATGCTGACTTCACCACTGCTCCTGACGAACACTTTAGTCATATTTCTTGCTTGCCCCTTCAGTGTTGAGTCCTGGGACGATAATGACAGAGCACTGCAAACCCAAGTAATCGGAAATATCAGTTCTATATGGAGGTATAAAACATCTAAAGAAGTGAAAAAAACCACAGTGGGGACTAAAATAAAATCATACATGGAAATAGCAGTTCAACGTGACTCCATGTTACTGGCTAAAGCAGCAGCCTTCCACCTTGCATTCTGCATGCTAGCAAGCCACAGACTAGATGCTTTTATGTTCATTTGTCCACACAGCATGAATTTTATTAAGTGCTTTTCCATGTTGAAGCTGTGCAGTACACTTTGACCCAAGTGTTTTGGAATGATTAGAAAGATTTGGGTTAAGTTTATCTATTAATAGCATCCACAGGTTTAGGAAACACTGAAATTTATTACTGATGCTTACAGCACTTGAGCAATTTCTTAAGGTTTCTCTCAAAAAAGATGCCCCCCCCCCCCGTTTGTTTGAATTGTGTGGGAGAATCAAAACAACTGCATAAAAGGCCTTTTCCACAACGTCATGCAGCACATGAAATGCATTTCAGCTTTCATCTAGCATTCTTGCTTTTTTGGAGGGAGAAAAAGACTAAAAACCTGGAGAAGCACCACTTAATGAATGTTCTCTGTTCCTTAGCTGCATCTGTCAGTTACTGCATGCTGAATATAGAGCCATCATTTCAATTAATGCTTCCCAGAAAATTGTATTTCTCCCACAGTCATCTCCACTGCAACCAAATGGAGCATGACAGAGAATGATTTTGACACTACAAAAATAGCAGAGGCACAGAACTACTAAAGCAACAGTTTAAAAACGGCAGAACTTTAAAGAGAATGTTTTACATCTGCTTAAATGACGAGATGAAGAATGGAGAACTCACATTTGCACCAACTTTGCAAATAAGCCATTCATTACCTACTAACCTTCTGTACATTTTCTGATGCATCCAGAAAAGTAGATTAAAAATCTCAAATGGCAAAACCTGTGAACAGTGCCATTTATAAACAACAGCACAGGTACCTTCAAATGCAACAAACTTGTTCAGACAGGAAAAGAAAGGTTTCCCAGTGAGGCTGAGCTGCTATTGGAATTAACCTATAGAGGCAGACCTACTGTTTTGCCTGGCCAACTCCAATGAGGATTAGATATGACATGCAGGAATTCTGCCTATGAGAACACAGCCTTATATTTTATCTCATGAGCTCCTGTCACTCTTGTCTCAAACTCTCCTCTCAAATAATGAGCACTCCTAGCATCACATTATGTAGGTCTTCACCGGACCTAAAAAGTAAAATATCACAAGGTATCACCTTGGTAATTCTCTCTGCTGTTTTTCACCAATGCCATTTATTTCCCATTTAACTCTGAAACAATCCCTTGCCACTACTGCAGCTGTGCTTTAGCAGAACTTGCCCAGGCCCACCAGCTTCTATAGCTCTTACATAGCTTCTCAGAACTCCTTAAATTACAAATATTAGCCCCATTACTGCCGCTGTAACACAGAATATTCAAACCCACAATCTCATTCAACAGTTACAGTGGGATTTTACTCTCTGGTT